GCATAGATTACCTGAGGAGTGGGTATTTCAAAGACCCAAAAGGACTTCGTTGGGCTTTTGACATAGCTACTGTGGAGACAGAGGAAATTAGACAGTTGAACACCTTGCCTGGTCTCTCAGAGGACCCTTCTGCTGTGGGACTGCTGAAGACTGAAGAACAATTGGTACCAATAGCCACAGCAACAGTGCACCGTCGGCAATACCGCACCGACCGAGACTCTGTGACTCCTATACATAAGATGTTCCGTGACCTGGAGACCCAGGGGGTGGTCAGCAAGACTCGTTCATCCTTTAATAGCCCTATATGGCCAGTGCGTAAGTCCAGCGGAGAGTGGAGGTTGACGGTGGATTTCTGTGGACTCAATGAAGTCACACCACCCCTGAGTGCTGCTGTGTCGGATATGCTGGAGCTCCAGTACGAACTGGAGTCCAAGGTAACCAAGTGGTATGCCACCATTGAAATTGCCAATGTCTTTTTCTCCATTCCTTTGGCAGTGGAGTGCAGACCACAATTTGCTTTCACTTGGAGAGGTGTGCAGTACACCTGGAATCGACTGCCTCAGGGGTGGAAACACAGTCCCAGCATTTGCCATGGACTGATCCAGACTGCACTGGAAAAGGGTGAGGCTCCAGAACATCTATGGCACATTGATGACATCATTGTTTGGGGGAGTACAGCGGGGGAAGTCTTCGAGAAACGAGAGAAGATAATCCAGGTTCTCCTAAGAGCTGGTTTTACCATTAAACGGAGTAAGGTCAAGGGACCTGCTCAGGAAATTCGGTTCCTAGGAGTGAAGTGGCAAGATGGACGCCGTCTAATTCCAGTGGAGGTGATTAACAAAATAGCAACCATGTCCCAAAGGATTTGAAGCCAACTATACACCAACTGAGAAAGAGATCCTGGTTGCTTATGAAGGAGTTCGAGTTGTCTCAGAAGTGATCGGCACCAAAGTGCAACTCCTCCTGGCACCCCAACTGCCAGTGCTGGGCTGGATGTTCAAGGTAAGAGTTCCTTCTACACATCACACCACCGATGTCATATGGAGTAAGTGGTTCGCTCCGATCACACAGCGAACCAGGATAGGGAATCCTAATCGCCCTGGGATTCTGGAAATTATCACCAATTGGCCCGAAGGTGAGAGTTTCGGACTATCCTCTGAAGAAGAAGAGGAGTAGGTGACACGGGCTGAGGAGGTCCCACCATATGACAAGCTACCAACAGATGAAAGGCGATATGCTCTCTTCACGGATGGCTCCTGTCGCATTGTAAGGACAAACCGAAAATGGAAGGCAGTCGTATGGAGTCCCACACGGCGAGTTGCAGAAGCGACCGAAGGACAAGGTGGGTCAAGTCAGTTTGCAGAGCTTAAAACCGTTCAGTTGGCTTTGGATATAGTTGAACGAGAGAAGTGACCAAGACTCTATCTCTACACTGACTCATGGATGGTGACCAATGCTCTGTGGGGATGGTTGGAGCGATGGAAAAAGGCCAACTGGCAGCGCCAAGGGAAACCCATCTGGGCGGCAGAGATGTGGCAGGACATTGCTGGTCAGATAGAGAAGCTGAGTGTGAAGGTCCGTCACGTAGATGCTCATGTACGCAAGAAACAGGCTAATGAGGAGCATCGTAACAACGAACAGGCGGACCGAGTTGCCAGGATTAAAGTCTCTCAGGTAGATCTGGATTGGCAGTACAAAGGAGAATTATTTCTGGTTCGATGGGCCCATGATGCCTCCGGTCACCAGGGGAGAGATGCAACATCCAGATGGGCTCGTGACCGAGGGGTGGACTTAACCAAGGACATTGTCTCACAGGTCATCCATGACTGTGAGACATGTGCTGCCATCAAGCAGGTCAAGCGGGTGAAGTCTCTATGGTATGGTGGACGGTGGTCGAAGTACAGGTATGGGGAAGCCTGGCAAGTTGACTATATCACGCTCCCCAAAACCCGCCATGACAAGCGCTACGTACTGACCATGGTAGAAGGAAGTACTGGATGGCTGGAGACATACCCCGTGCCTCATGCCACTGCCCGGAATACCATCCTGGGCCTTGAAAAACAAGTCCTGTGGCGACACGGCACCCCGGAGAGATTTGAGTCTGATAATGGGACCCATTTCAAGAATGGCCTTGTAGACACCTGGGTCAAAGAACACGGCATTGAGTGGACATATCATATCCCCTTCCATGCACCAGTGCCTGGGAAAGTTGAACGGTGCAACGGATTGTTGAAAACCACCCTGAAGGCACTGTGTGGGGAGACTCAAACACTGGGAGCTGCAGTTAGCAAAGGCCACCTGGTTGGTCAACACCCGAGGCTCCATAAATCGAGTTGACCCTGCCCAATCAGAACCTTTGCATACTGTAGATGGAGATAAAGTCCCCGTGGTGCATATGAGAGGAATGTTAGGGAAGACTGTTTGGATTAGTCCCACCTCAAGCATGGTAAACCCATTCAAGGGATTGTTTTTGCTCAAGGACCTGGTTTCACCTGGTGGGTAATGCAAAAAGATGGGGAGACATGTTGTGTACCACAAGGGGACCTAATTTTGAGTGAGAATGGTCTGTAATGTTTCATTGTATATATATATATGTATATAGTTTTAAGGAGACATAGTTTTTAAGGGGGTTAATTTGGGCATGACATGGATGGCATAGAATAAGGGGTGAACTGGAGAATATATAAACCCAGAGTTTCAGAACCTTTCGACCACTCGTGGGATCCAGAGGAGGACTGCAGTTCACCTCTCTCAACCAGACTGCAGCTCACTGCTCTCAGCCGGACTGAGACCACCACCCTCGGCTGGACTGCAATCACCACTTTTGGCTGGACTGCAGCAACTCTCCCACCAACAGGTTTTTCCCCTCTCCCTTTGCTTTGGGTTCAGGCGGGGCCCAGGGAGCACCGCTTTGTTTGTGCCCCGGGGTACTGGGTTGTACATTTGGACTTTGTGGGTTAGGGCCTGTTACTTGTCTGTGTGGTCGTACTTATTGTATTATTTTATTAAATTGTTATTCTGACTTGTAATCTCTCTTTTGAGTTGAGTTCATTTCCCCTGCTGGTTAACTTTTAAACCAACACATGGTCCAAGTTCCTGCAGCCCCATCTGGGGGGCTGGGGGACCAGGGCACCATGGCCCCCCGGGAGGGGACTCCTGCCCCTTCTTTTTGTGGCTTTAGAACATGGTTACTCTGCAACAAGTACAAGATCAAGCTTTTCTGGTCTGCTTGTGATATGTTTATATTTTGCAGGAGCAGTCATTGGGTCCACATCAAGTGACACCACCCCCTTGGGAGTTACCATTTTTTTTAACTCCAGGGGGAAAACTTTTTTCCCCCTACCACATCCAACCTGAAATATTCACCTGGGAGGTGATTGTCCTTCTCTACACTTTACTGATGTGTCCCTACGTCAAGTACTCTGTGCAGCTTTGGGTACCTCTGTGAGACTGGAATGGTAATGGTTAATGACTCAAAACAATTGGCCATTTGTGGAGGCAGCAGGGTACCTTGCTGGGACCAGGTTGTCACCCCGCAACCAAAGGGGAGGAGGAGAGTTTCTGGGTGTGTGATGTCAAAACCTCTGGTTCACATAAGACAGAGGGGGTGAAAACCCACCACTGGAGGTTAAAAGTTGGGTTTTGAGCCAGATAAGAAGCTGTCCTGGTTTACTGACAATATGTCCCAGGAGGTGAGACCTCCAATGGAATAGAAACAGCCCCCAAAATTATGAAATTTTTTGAAACTACAAGGCGTTCGAGTGAAGTATGAAAATTAATAAGAGTTTTACTAAAAACAGAGAAAAACCAGGACAAAACAAAAACCAAACAATAACAGAAAACAACATCACCTAAAACCACTCATTCAGTCTATGCCACCAAGATGGCAACGCAGTGCTGACAGAGGTCACATGCAGATCCGGGGGGGGAGAGGTGAGTACTGGTGTGCAGAGTGGCGCTGGTGCAAGTAGCACTACTCTGAGGCAGTTAGCAGTGGCAGAAGTGGCAGAGGTAGCAGCGATGAACAGCGGCAGTGCAAATGGTGCTACCCTGAGGTGGCAGTGGTGGCAGTGGCAGCAGCAGCTCACCACACACAAAGGGCCGGTGGCCTTGAGGAACAGAAGTGCTCCTGCCCAGCATGGGAACCGCAAAACTGGGGTGTGGGGCAGCTCCAGGGACACAGTGGTCGGCAACCGCCTCCCAGTTGCACCCCCAGGAACCAGGGAGATCATGTTCTGGTCTTGGTAGCAAGTTTATCCTACTAAGTTCTCATGGTATTTCCCAGCAGGACCCTTCATTTTTTCCCCGCCCTCTGCCCTGCATGGGGGAAGAAAGGGGATGTGTCCCCCGTGCTTCACCAAAACCACATGATGATATGAAAAAATTCACCAAGAAACCCTTCATTTAGCTAAACCATAACATTATCCACACCAAATTTTTTCCATACCATCATGTTATATCAGATTTGAACTTTCCAACTATACACATACATATATATTCCAATTATATACACATTTAAAATATGTACATACAGGTACAGTGTTACGGGCAGTTTACCCAAAAATTAGGTCCCCTCGAGGTGTACATTGTGTTTCTCCATCTTTCTGCATTACCCACCAAGTGTAACCTGGTCCTTCAGCAAAAACAATCCCACAAATGGGTTTGCTTTTGCTTGAGGCAGGACTAATCCAAACCATTTGATTATTTGGGGATTTGATATACCCACTCAATGCCATGCTCTTTAGCCCAGGTGCTAACTAGGTTGTTTTTGAAATGAGTCCCATTGTCTGACTCAGTTCATTCTGGGGTACCATGTCTCCAGAGGACTTGCTTTTCAAGGCCCAGGATGGTAGTCTGGCGTGAGGCACAGAGTATGTTTCCAGTCATCTGGTGGTTGCTTCCACCATGGTGAGCACATAGCACTTACCTTGGCGAGTTTGCGGAAGTGTGATGTAATCAATCTACCAGGCCTCCCCCTATCTATACTTAGTCCATCTGTGTGATGGTTTGGTCTAGGCCTTCCCTGGCAACCAGCTCAAAACCAAGGAAGTGTCCATATCCCAGTATTCCATTCTATTTCTTTAGGTAAGCAAGAGTATTAATACTAGGGAGAAGGAAGTTAGAGGTCAGACCTCTTCCGTTGGGGTTGGAGAGGAGAGGCAACCCTGCTGAGCTCCTGACTCCAGAGTCTAGGCCTTGGGAGGCGACGGCGGCTGTGTTGGTGCGGTTTTGCTTTCTCAAGGAAAGTATTAAGATTCTTTTGTTTGCTAGCTCTCTATTAGTTGTGTATATCTGCATATATCGGTTTTTCTGTTTTGGTTTTGGGGTGTTGGGGTTTTCTCTTTCTTATATGCAAATAGGTTTTTTTGCAATTGTATATAAGTTTAAATATATATATATATATACTGCTTTAGTTCAGTTTGAGTCTTTTGGGGTTTTTTCCCCCCCTCTTCCCTTTCCTTTAAATAAGGGGAGGAGGTTTTTGGTGTGAATTCGGGGACTTGGCAGGGACCCAGGTCCAGACTGCAACAGTCTACCACCATACCACACAGGGGCTTTACTCCATGGTTAAATCCACTCCTTAGTCTCCCGTGCACCTGTAGGTGGCATCTCTTCCCTGATGACCTGAGGCATCATGGGTCCATAGAGCTAGGAACAACTCTCCCTTCTCTTGCCAATCAAGATCTAACTGTGACACTTTCACTTGGGCAGCTCAGTCTGCCTGTTTGTTGTTGCAATGTTCATTTGCTCAGCTTTTGGGTAGGTGTGCATCTACATGGTGGACTCTCACAATCAGCTTCTCTACCTGGGTCACGATGTCTTGCCACATTTTAGAAGCCCACATGGGTTTCCCTTTATGTTGCCAATTGGTCTTCTTCCATCTGTTCAGCCACCCCCACAGAGCATTGGTCACTATCCAAAAGTCAGTGTAGAGGTAAAGTCTTGGCCACTTCTCTCATTTGGCAATATCCAAAGCCAACTGGATGGCTTTGAGCTCTGTGACTTGACTTCATCCACCTTGTCCTTCCATAGCTTCTGCAACTCGTCGTGTGGGGCTTCATAAGGCTGCTTTCCCTTTCCAGTTCATCCCTACAATGTGACGGGAACTGTCAGTAAAACGAGCATAATGCTTTTCATCCTCTGGTAGTTGGTAGTATGGTGGAGCTTCCTCAGCATGTACCACCTGTTCTTCTTCCTCTTCATCTGCCAGACCAAAATTCTCACCTTCAGGTCAATTTGTAATTATGTCCAAGACCTCAAGGCAATTAGGATTCCTGACTGTGGCACACTGCGTGATCAAGGCAATCCACTTACTCCATGTAGCATCAGTGGCATGATGAGTGGAAGGAACCTTTCCTTTGAACATCCACCCCAGCACTGGTAGTCGGGGTACCAGAAGAAGCTGTGCTTCTGTGCTGATCACTTTCCAGGTGACTTGAACTCCATAGGCTACTAGAATCTCCTTCTCCATTGGAGAGTAGTTGGCCTCAGACCCTCTGTACCTTCAGTTCCAGAATCCAAGTGGTCAACCTTGAGTATCCCCAGGGACCTTCTGCCAGAGGCTCTAAGAAGGACCATTTTCCCCGGCTGCAGAATAGATCACTGTAAAACTCCAACCCCAGGAGCTGCCAGCTTATGGGATTGGTTATGAGTTTTACTTTAATATATAGATATAGGGTTCTTTAATTATGTAGCTACCACCTTGAAGAAGACCAGTTCTCACAAGTCCAATGGCAGGGTCATGACATGAGGCAAACACATGCCCTTGGTTTTATTTGCTCTGGTCCCTATGGCCAATCCTCCAGACGGGGTCTCTGACTCACCAGCCACTCTGGGGGTTCCAGGTCAGGGTGAGGGACAGTGTCCTCACTGTCCCTGCCAATCTGAGGTTGGGTTAGGGGTTGCAGGAGGTGTGATGTGTTATAGTTTTCCTGGGCTCTTTGTGACTGACAGCTACTCTGGGGCTTCCCTATGTGGGCTTCAGGGGTTGCCACGAGGGACATGACGCCACCCCACCTCTGTGAGGTTTGACCCATCCCTTCCCCCTCCACTCACACACACTCCTCACAGGTTGGTTCTGACCCAATAATAACTGATCTGCTGTCTAACAATCACATTCTTCACCTCTGATCCTGTCCTGACTGGTCCAAGGGCTACAGTGTGAGCAATCTCCTGTTTAATCTGTTCAAAGACTTGTTGCTCTTTGGAGTCCCACTAGAAATCATTCTTCTTGAATGTTACGAGGTAGAGAAGACTTACAATCTGTCTGTATTCTGGGATGTGCATCCTCCAGAAACTTACAGCACCTAGGAAAGCTTGCGTTTCCTTCTTACTGGTCAGTGGGGATATTGCTGTTATCTTGTTGATGACCTATTGGGATCTGATGGCATCCGTCCTGCCATTTTGCTCCCAGGAACTGGATTTCTCGGGCAGATCCCTTGACCTTACTCTGTTTGATGGCAAACCCGGCTTTCAAGAGAATCTGGATGATCTTCTTTCTTAAAGACTTCTTCTGCTGTGCTCCGTCATATGATGATGTCATTGATGTACTGCAGGTGTTCTGGAACCTCACCCTTTTCTAGTGTGACCTGGATCAGTCGGTGGCATATGGTGGGACTGTGTTTCCACCCCTGGGGCAGTTGCTTCCAGGTGTACTGCATGCCCCTCCAGGTGAAAGTAAACCGTGGTTGGCACTCTACTGCCAAAGGAATAGAGAAAAACACATTAGCAATGTCAGTGGTGGTACCACTTTGCTGCCTTGAACTCCAGTTCGTACTGAAACTCCAGCATGTCTGGCACAGCAGCACTCAGTGATGGGGTAACTTCATTCAAGCCACGATAGTCCACTGTCGATCTCCATTGGGCTTACCCATGGGCCAAATGGGGCTGTTGAAGGGTGAGTGAGTCTTGCTGACCACTCCTTGGATCTCCAACTTGCTGATCATTTTATGGATGGGGATCATGGAGTCTCGGTTCGTGTGGTATTGCTGATTATGCACTGTTGCAGTGGCAATTAGAACCTGCTGTTCTTCAACCTTTAGCAGTCCCACAGCAGAAGGGTTCTCTGAGAGTCCAGGCAACACATTCAACTGTTTAATCCCTTCTGTCTCTACAACAGTTATCCCAAAGGCCCACAGATGTCCCTTTGGATCTTTGAAATATCCATTCTTCAGGTAATTGATGCTCAAGATACATGAGGGGTCTGGACCAGTCACAATGGGGTTTCTTTGCCACTCCTTCCCAATCAAACTCACTTCATCTTCCACCATTGTCAGCTCTTGAGAACCCCTGTCACTCCAGCAATTGAAATAGATTCCGCCCTCACATGCCTTGATGGCATTAGAGTGCATTGTGCACCAGTGTCAACCAAAGCTTTGTATTCTTGTGGGTCTGATGTGCCAGGTCATCTGATCCACACAGTTCAATAGACACGGTTATCCTGTGCCTCTACTTGGCTAGAGGCAGGGTCCCTCTAATGTTGCTCTTGGTAATTGTGGTTTTCTCTCTGTGAGTACATACAGGAGGTCCCTTCCAAGGGATCAGACATGTTATCGTCCCTCCTGTTCTAAGGACTTGCCCACGCGAGAGTGGAGCTACATCCATCCTCATGGAATTGCCTCTGGTCATTTTTCCTTTTAACTTCTGTGTCCATGATGATAAAGCATAGGTGGGTTTTCCATCCCATTTACTCATGTCTTCCCTATGTTCACGTAGGAAAAATCACAGATTACCTAGTGTGGTGTACTCCTTCTCCCTAGCCGGTGGATACCTGTTTCAGATAACGGGGGCTCCAGTTAGCACTGGTGAGACATGGACAATTCCCCCTTTAAACTCCTTTCTGAGTTTTTTGTGGTCATTTTTTACTTCCTCACTGCCCAGAGGTCCACAAATAATTTCTCTACGGAAGAGATATGGGCCTGTAATGGGGCATGGACAATCTCATTATATGTCCTGAGTTTACTCATCATAGCGCCCACTGTTTCTTGGTTTTCCTTTGATGCCTCAGAGCTTTTTGGATTTTTTTAACTTTTGTAGATTTTAGAAGTAGTTGTGTAGTAAATGTAGATTTTAATGTAGCTGTATTTTATCCTCTACCCTTAACATAGCAGTTTACACATACCCAACCCTATTATCCCATTTCATATCAATCCCTCTAAATTCCGGTAGTGTGTTTAGTCTTTTTTCAAGGTAGAATTGTAGAAAAACACCTCTGTTTAAGAACATCTCACCCTAGACCTGGACCAGGAGATATCACACAGAAAAAGCAACCTTCAAGCCCAGAACTTTGGAGGAACTCCAAGGACTGTACGTGCTGTGAAGAAGATGAAGATGAGGAAGAAGAGGTCCCAAAGACCCCAAACCCAATTCCCGAAGGGGTGTGTCAAGGGGCAGAACTGGGCAGAACCCGGGGTGGATAAATCTGGGATTGGATGGACCTTATCATAGAACCACTGTCTGGGTGTGCGCATGCAGTGTGTATTCCCCTGGGCCTACGGCCTCATTAAAGGACCTGTTCTTTTTATCTTATACACTAAATTGACCTGGAGTCTTTTTCCCCACGGTCTTTTTAGGCAACACCTTCCAGTGCATTGTCACCAGGAAATTAGCATATATGGGTGGTCTTGCCTGTCCAAGTTTCCACCACATCTGTGATGTACACTTGACCTTGTCGGAGTCACTACTGGATTGCCCATCCCTTGCGAAAAGTATCTCTAACAGTGTCATTTCTCTCAGGCATCGAATCCCTTCTTCCATGGTCTCCCAGGTGCAAAGATGATGTCTCTGCAGGTTGTCTCTGAAAACAAACCTCTCTCTTAAGCTTCTTAAAACCGTGTCCAGAGATGAAGGGGTTCAGACTCCCTTATGAACGCCTGGTTATTACCCATATGCTGAGACAGGGATCCTAAATACCTTGCAATAAATACCTACTGTCAAGTAGTGCACCTCTGCCCATAAGATCCCAGACTTGAATCAACCAGGTGAGAATAGGTTCATCCGGTTGTCGAGTGATGTCTTTCTGCAAGTTGCAGAGA